TGACTCATTTAGCTGTCGTCTTGTTGAAGCTGTGAGTTACAGTGGTTAAGTTAAATCCAAAAACCAGCATTTGTTTTCTTAAGACATGGACAAAAAACTTCCAGGAAAATAAATTTTCATTGTAATAATTTTAAACTCAACTTCGTGTATAATACACTTTAAAACAACCACGGTGTCATACAAAGTGCTGTATGTGGAGCAAAATTAGTCATACAACAACAAAGACCGTTAAAACAATAAATGAATATCCAAAATCAATACAGAGTCTCATGCTGAGTCAAAAGCCAAAGAATAAAAATGTGTTTTAAGATGAATTTTAAAGATGGAGAGAGAGGGGGCTTGCCGAGTATTTCGTGAGAGGTCCGGACCGGCAACAGAAAACGATCAGTCTCCTCTGAGCCTCCGCTTAGTCCTCTGTACCTCCAGTAGGGTCTAGTCCACTGACCTAAGGCAGGTGCGTGGGGGTGGAGAAATTTAGTGCAGTATGTGACTAGCTTGACACATGAACAAAGACATAATTTAGACCTAATTCTTGCCTCTGGTCTACCGGTCTATCATGTGACTGTGCTCTGTAATGTGGTCTTTTCCTGTGACGCTGTTAAATCTGCCGCTCCGGAGTGCAGCGGCCATCATATAAGCCTCTCGCTGCTGGTCAGTCCTCCATAAGACAAGCTTAGGTCTCTTCTGAAATCTGGAAAGACTGCAGGAATTGCTACCAGAGCACAGTTAAAGAGGGCAAAACAGAACATTTATCCAAAATAATTCAGGCTACCTGTCACAACCCATGTCTACAACTTTAGACGATTCATTCTGTGCTTAAACCCTATCTGCCCCTTTGCACAGACACTTCCCCTGATATGTGCAGTAGATTCCTGCAATTTTTCATTGATGAGGTTTCTACAGGTTGGGCTCTTATTTCAAACACCACATTTGACCTCTCTGTCCATGTCCCGTGTCCGGCGGCGTTAAATTCCAGACGAAGCTATCAGACTCCCATGATGGCTTTGTTACTCCTCATGTCTTCAAGGAGGTTCTCCCAAGTATTGGTAAATTGGTCTTGGACATGATCAACAGCAGTCTGTATCTGGTGTACTCTCACAACATGTGGTAGATGGCACTGAAATTCTTGACTTTCAATGAAAAGAAAACTTACGGTCTGGTGATTTTTCCCAGTGGCCCTTGTGCTGTACATCCCATCCTGCTGACTTGGGCCTTCCCGGCGCCTTATTTAAAAGCAACAGTCTTGAATTTGGGTCTTAAACTGTACAGTGATTTTAAATTGAAACGGCAAATAGGTGCTGTGTCAAGCAGTGCTGGAAGGTGGGCCCCACATTGGCCTGATATATCAAGGGCACAACTCTAAAAAGTAATTGCAATGACATGTTGGGTGTCGGCCGCCCGGTGAGCTACTGGTGAGCACATCGGCCTCACAGTGCAGAGGTGCTGGGTTCGATTCCGGTTCTGGCCTTCCTGTGTGGAGTTTGCATGTTCTCCTCGTGTTTGCATGGGTTTTCTCCGGGTACTCTAGTTTGCTCCCACATCCCAAAAACATGCATGTCAGGTTAATGGAACACTCTAAATTGTCCCTAAGTGTGAGTGTGAGCCCGAAAGGTTGTTCGTGTACGTGTGCCCTGCGATTGGCTGGCAACCAGTTCACGGTGCCTACCCCCCTCCTGCCCGAAGACAGCTGGGATAGGCTCCAGCACACCCCGCGACCCTTGTGAGCATAAGTCACAGGTGTCGAAGTCCGGTCCTCGAGGGCCGGTGTCCTGCATGTTTTCCATCCCTCCATGCTGCAACACACCTGATCCAAATGAACAGCTCATCAGCAAGCTCTATCGGAGCCTGATAGTGATCCTGATCATTTGAATCACGTGTGTTGCAGCAGGGAGAAATGGAAAACATGCAGGACACCGGCCCTCGAGGACCGGACTTCGACACCTGTGGCATAAGTGGATCAGAAAATGGATGGATGTTGGGTGTTGGAGAGCACCTCACCTGCAGGTTTGCTGAAAATCTATAGCACATCAAAATAAAGCTAACTTTATTCCTGAAGGCACTCATGGAGCAACGAGTATGCGCGCAAATTCTGGAATCGACTTCAGGTAAATTGTTACAGAGCTATTCATTACAGTGGGTTTCATTTCACATTTTTATTCCAGTGTTTTATTCAAGCGTTTTATTCAACCATTCTTTTCACCCCCTTTTCTAAGCGATCATTAGCCCCCATTGCATTGAAAAATGTCTTGCACCGCTTGGGAACTTGTTGACTGTTGTACTAACCAGTGATATATTTTCATTTTGTGGAAAAAGAGCACAGTACAACACTGGCATTGAACCTTGTGTTAATGTGCTTGCATTGTGACATGTCACCAGAGAAGATTTCGCTGTGAATGCCAACAAGAACATCAGGTATTATTATGTGGGGTAGCGGGTGTGGGGGCACACAACAGTACTTGTCGCCCTCTGATTTTGCATTTCATGAACAGTAAGTGTTTTTGTCAGTACTGTATACTGTAGGGAGCGATTATGGCGAGGAAGACGTTATGCTCATAAAATTCAAACTATTGTGGCCGATCGTTCTAATATTTGCAGCGGGCAGTTGAACTTGACAGAAGTAGAGATGCTTGCATAAACGTGAAGCCTGTTTACATTAAGCATCCCAGTCATGTCGTTACCTTGCAATGGGAAGTATTGTCGGTTTGGCTGGCTCCTACGTCTCCTTAAAGCTAAATAAATAATAATTTGGCTGGCTCCTACGTCTCCTTAAAGCTAAATAAGACGATGTCTAATTTCTTTTAACAAAACACAACCAAATGTATGACTGATATGTGACCTAGCTTTTCAGTCTAAAGAGTTCGGAACTTAGTTACTGGTAAACGTAATTGTACCTTGTTGTAGGCCTTTTTTATGTTAGCCACTTTAACAAGAAGCAGAATTTCAATGGTTTCGCTTATTAGCTGCAACAACTGGCGTTCCCACATCATCAAAATCTGCAACTGTCTTAGAAAGTGGACTCACACAAACAGTTTCCATATACAGTACAGTATATGAAACGTTGGTTTCGCTACACCGGGTGCCACACACCTATTTCATGTGAAGGCTCATGGAACGTAGGAATTAGGTGGATTGATCAGGGAGCCCAAAAGAAGAAGAAGAAAAAAAACAATGTAGTCGTAGGCTTATATTTCTTACATGAGGAAAAGTAGTGCTGCCAGTTTGTCCCAGCCTCATCAAACATCACAGTTGACTGCACATTACTATCTTACATTAAGCAGCTAACTCGCAGATGAGACAAAACAATATCAACAGTTGCTCTTTGAATTTGTTTACACAGAACAGTGATGTCATTATTAGCCATGCTACAAGACGTTTGTCCTGTTCTGACACTAAAATTCATGCCAACCCTATTTTCTCTGTCTGCTTGGCCTGTCCAAACAGATCATTTGTGCTTTGGATAGCATTATGTACATCTCCTGGAATTTTCTGGTCGAGGCTAAATGTTAGATTAAACCGAATTTTAACATGAAGCACTGGAGTTGTACTGCAAATGGCTATTCATTCATTATTCTGACAGATCTCAGTGTTTTGATAGGAAAACACCGTTTTTCACTTTTAGTGGGACGTTAATTTTGTACACATACATGGAACCATCCATGCTAGCACTGACACTGCACCCACCCACACAGCTTTCCCTGGGGTGGAGAACAGTAAGCACAGAATGCACTTTGAGGTCTGGTAACGTGACACAAAAACGGCTTTGCTTTGGCTTTGTTGTGATGTTCAAACTGTTCATAGTTGTTAAAAGCATTTTGTAATCATAACTATATCTTGGTACTTTCATTTGAAGTAGTAGTTTTTGTCAGCGTGCAGCAGTGAGGTTGGGGCAGTATCTGCGTCTAGGTGTGCGTGGGATGAAGGGGGTATACCGTATTTTCATGACCATACGGTGCACCGCATTAAGAGGTCCAGTGTCAGTTACGGGTGATAGTTGTGTATTTAACGCATACATAACATGCACTGTATTATTGGACGCAGGCATGGTAAAACATACACTAGCTTAAACAATACATACGTGGTAGCACACATGCATGCTAGCGTATGTTTACTCACATTATTTTTGAATCAATCCTCATCCACAAATCCATCAAAGTCATCATCTGAATCTGAAATGAACAGCTGGGCAGAACACGCTGCGCCACGGTAGTCCTTGCACGAATAGATAGTTGGCGCTGTTTCATAAAACAAAAGCAACAAAACAGACCTCCTTGAAAACGTTCGCTTTTCATTTTTTCTGCAAACGTTTTTGCCCTCAGTCGAATGGTGACTGTTGAGATGCTTCTCCTGGCTGTGACCGTGAATCCATTGCTCAGGGTGGTCTTCCAACTCGGGCCATGGTGCCTTGTTTCCACAGAAACTCTGCTACATCAGCAGCCTGTCCGCATATCATCAGACAGTCAAGTGGAGCGCTCGTTGAAGTCACACAGCAACAATCACAGCTTTTGGAACCTGGTATATAGATTAGCGACGCTTCATTATTCAGAATTTTTTGGAGAAAATGTCAGACTTTTAAGGGCGGCCAATGTTCATGAAAATACTATAGTAGGGCAGTGATCCCCGACCTTGTTTCTGCCATGGTCCGGTTCATGAACTGACTGAAATGTTGTGAACCGGCAGTCGTCAGGTCCACTCCTGTCATGGCGATAATGTTCCTTTTGTATGCTCCACTGCAGAGTATTTTATTTATGTTTTTTTCTTTCTTGCTTACAATATTTATTTAACTTTCACAAAGATAATTTGAGTTTTTAGTGGTACTGAATACATTTTTATAGCCACAGTATTCCGTCCATTTTTACCCATGGTATTGAAGGTGTTGGAAAGGGTAGCAAATACAGTGTGTCATTTTAAATGTGCCATCTGAGTTTCTTCTATCACATGTGCTGAGAAATTTTATGTTTTGTTTTGATATTAGATTATATACACGAATGCATTGTGTCTAGGTGCTGGACATCGGCGACAGCCTCACCATCCCAGATGAGTTTACAGAAGAGGAGAAAACCACAGGTTTGTGGTGGAAGCAGCTGTCTGCGGGGGCCATGGCAGGGGCAGTGTCCCGTACAGGTACTGCTCCCCTGGACAGAATGAAAGTCTTCATGCAGGTCTGTCTACACATATTTTATTAAAACTTCTTTTTTTTTTTAAGGTAGCTTTTTCACCGCCAAGATTAGTCACAATGGCTCTTAATTTACAGGTCCATGCTTCCAAGAGCAACAAAATTAACCTGGTTAGCGGTTTCAAGCAAATGTTGAAAGAAGGCGGCTTGACGTCTTTATGGCGAGGAAACGGTATTAATGTACTAAAGATCGCCCCAGAAACTGCCATTAAATTCATGGCCTACGAGAAGGTAATGTATTCATTAATCAAGATTTTTTTTTTAATTGTGATTGAGCATTTGTAAGAGGAATGAATGTTGCGCAAAGCAAGTTAGACTTAGGGCAGACCTGGGCAAAGTACCACCCGGGGTCCACATTCAGTCCACCAACAGTCTATGTCCTGCCCTCACAATAACCATGACGTCAAAGTAAAACAAGACATGCGGTGCTTTATTTTGAAAGTTGTGCTTTTCTTGTATGTGTACACATAGGGATTGGTAGTACTAGCGAGGTAGCAAGTACGAGGTACGGCTTGTGTCTGCAGTCTTGCGAGCTTTAGGGTGTTTTTGCTTTCTTTAGTGACTTTTCCAACACCTACAGCAACTATTTAAAAAAAAAAATACGAGCAAAAATGACAGCAGTGGTCCTAATGTTAGCAACATTCTTATTGCATGGTGGAGGAAAGGGGGCCAAGAACATTAGTCCCAATAATACTGTAGTGAATGCAAATCTCCAGTTTCATACTCCGTACGTAATGGGTATATTGTAAGTCATCATCATCATTGAAACCATTTATATCAGTGTGGTCTTCATGCTAGACGACCTGCAAGGGTATCCGACCACACCACCAGGCACAGGCGTCATCGTCTTGCATGGGCCAGGAAGCATTTACGCTGGGCGAGGGACCTCCATCTACATGGAAAACTACTTACAAAATGTTCTAGTTAAGACATTTCTTCCAGAACCAATTAATTTGATAAGTAGAGGTACCATTGTATTAATGATGAATCTTTGATAAGTAGAGGTACCATTGTATTAATGATGAAGAGGTGGGTGGGTGGGGACATACAGGAGGAATAGTATTTCAATCATCAAACTTGGGCGCTTGTCTCTTGGACAAAAAGCAGAATTGTTTCCAAGAATTTACGGGATGAATGTTTTCAATGTTCTGTGATGAATTCATTTGTTGTTTTTGTTTTTTGTCTTTGTCTTTGTTCGCCCATCCATTTTTAAACTTGCTTTGTTTTTATTTTGTTGAAGTTTCCTCTCCGTGTCTTATACTCTGTCTCACAATACAATACAAAAGAATACAATTTATTTACATAGTATAAGAAGATGCTGTCCAGCGAACCTGGGAAGATCAAGACACATGAGAGGTTCATTGCAGGATCGCTTGCTGGAGCAACGGCACAAACGGCCATCTACCCCATGGAGGTGCGCTCTTAAACACACGTACCAGTTTGTCTGCAGTGTTCTCATAGTACCAATTGCTGTATGTGTCTGCATATTTCAGTACACAGGCCATTGTTAGTGGTTTACCTTTGGTATTATTTTTTGGGGGTATGAATTTGAAACCGGATTTAAGAGGCATGTACTGACTGCTATAATGGTGTCACAAAGTAACGATGCATTTTCGTAACAAGCGGACTCTCTTCCTCCCACATTCATCTCTTTTTCAGAACAGTCAGCAGTAGGTGCATGTGATGCTGCAAGACAGAAAAGAAAATAATATTCTCTAAATATTTCAGTTGAAAAGCAATGGCAGCATCTACAGTTGTGATATAAACCACTGCTGGTCTAAAATTGCTGTCATTGTAACTTTTGAGCATACAGAGTGGGGAAAAAAAAGGCAAAAAGAAACACATCCAATGAATGCTAAATTGAGCGCAACATATTGTGCCTTATCTCTGGGTGCTGCTGTATTATATTCCACAATTTCCACTTTGCTGCTGTGTCCTGTTTTTGTTGAACCGGATGTCCACAAAGTCACAAGAGAAAGCGATACAGATAATGGACGTGTGGATGATAACTAAATCCTTTGTCAATTTAGGTGATGAAGACTAGGCTAACCTTAAGGAAGACCGGGCAATACTCTGGAATGTTTGACTGTGCCAAAAAAATTCTGAAAAGGGAAGGAGTTAAGGCATTCTACAAGGGCTATGTTCCTAATATTCTGGGCATCATTCCATATGCTGGGATAGATTTGGCCATTTATGAGGTGAGCCACCACAGCAGATTTTGTTTTTGTTTCAAATACTGGTCTTTGTTTCAGATACAGGTCTTCACTATGATCACTCATTCTTTTCTGATCATCACTAGAGCTTGAAGAATGTGTGGTTGTCTCGCTATGCCAAAGACACGGCCAACCCAGGTATACTGGTGCTGCTGGGCTGTGGAACCATCTCCAGTACTTGTGGCCAGCTGGCCAGTTACCCCTTGGCTCTGGTCCGCACCAGGATGCAGGCACAAGGTACAAGAATAAGCATGAAATACAGGTGACAATTGACTTCGTTGTATTTCCCCGGTAACTACAATACTGTTTTGTCGCTTCTCCTCTCAGCTTCTCTCGAGGGTGCAGAACAGTTGCACATGAACCAAATGGTGAAAAAGATTCTAGAGAAAGAAGGATTCTTTGGACTTTACCGTGGCATCTTGCCTAATTTCATGAAGGTGCTGCCAGCTGTCAGCATCAGCTATGTGGTGTATGAATATATGCGGTCAGGCTTGGGTATACAGAAGTAAGCGAAACATGTGCTGTCATTTTCATGTCTGTCCGCAAACAAATCGGGAAACTATAAAATGCAAACATTGACTGTGCCACCAGAGGTGAGGTATCCAACATTTTAAAATGGCACTTTAACCCTTGCATATTTGCTTTAAGGGGTGTCAAATGAGTCAACTATAATAGTTATTGTTCAAGTGAGTGGAAACAGGGTAACAAAATTATTCCTAATCTCTACGCTATTTATCCCACATGACAATTTCAGATTTCGGTATAGATTTTAGCAAGCATCATGCAAGTTGACACAGCTGATTTGCTTTCGCGGGCCACATAAAATGACGTGGTGGGCTGGATCTGGCCCCGGACCTCGAGTTTGACACCTGTGGTGCAACTGACAATGCTACATTTTAGGATAACAACTGAATTCAGAGTTGATTCGCTAATGTTTGTTTCTTCACTAAAACCCAACGGCAGCAAACAAAGACAGTGATTCCGATCCATCCATCTATTTTCTTAACCATTTGTCCTGATTGGGCTCGCGGATGAGCTGGATCTTATTCACACCCACATTCGTGCCTGTGGACAATGTTAACATCCTCAAAAATGTTAACATACAAGTTTGTCAAATAGGTTTCAAGCAAACTCCAAACTGGAAGGTCGGAGCTCAGGTTTCATCCCTTCAGAATTACGAGGCAGATGTCCTTAATCTCACTGCATTGATATTCTGTCCACCAAATTCATATACGGTATTTTCACTTGATTGATACTCGCAAAAACACCATAACAACTAGGATCACATGTGTGCCATGAACCCTTGGGAATTGGTATATTGGAGCTTGGGGGATTCATGCAAATTGTCATTACCTATGTTACAGAAGGGCCAAGAAGAATACATTAATCATTTTGCAAATTCAGTACTTGTAATCAAAAATAAATACAGTCAGACCGCGGTTTTCGTCCATAATCCGTTCCAGAAGGCTGTTCGAAAACCGAATTGTTCGGAAACCGAAACCACGCTCTTTAAAAAAAAATAAAATAAAAAAGTTTATTGAACACGTCTGCTCACAATGGAAAGCGACACGAGGAAGCATCACTTCCTCGTCTAACCGTCACTTCCTCGTCTAACCGAGGAAGCGTCATTTCCTCCTGTAAGGAAGGCGAGAGGAGTCAAGTGGTGCATTCAAGTGCACTCAGCTTGTTCGAGAACCGAAATTTGTTCGTCATCCGAGGCATAAAAAACCAAATTGGTTGAGAACCGAGACGTTCGAAAACCGAGGTTTGACTGTACAGTCAGTACAGCTAAATGAATTTATGCAACTTTCTAATTGAATGATTGTTCATCAAACACAGTGGATGAAATTATTTAGCCAACACTAAAGTATTGTTTAGCAAAGCAATCCAATTGTTTGATTGAACAAATGGAGGCTTCTAAATGAAGCAAAAGTTCCCAATATCATCATTGTCGCATTGACAATCTAATTATAGATGCGCAAGCATTTCAAGAGTAAATTAAATAATGCAGTTGAACCTTGGAATTACTTGATTGAACTAGAAGTTCTCGCCTCTGTGGCTCCTGAAACAAATACGGGTTTAATGCAGTTTACTTTCATTCTAAAAACTATTTCCACCTCTTTTTATATAGTCAATGTTTTTAAGGCACTTTTTGCACAGATTGGAAAAACACAAAAACTTTGTGATTGTGAATGACTTCCCCTTTTCAGGATATCTTCTCATATTGGCAAACATTTCTAGAATTCTGTGTTGTGATTTATATTGTGTTTATGGCTTACCCACAGTTTCACGGCACAGCACTGGTCAGCTTTCATTGAGATGTAGTAATTCAATACGTTGTTTACAAAGACACTTGGGAAAGTCGATTTCCCTTTTCGTTGTTTGATTGTTTGCATACACATCAATAGACGATTGTCACCTCTCCCAAAAAAATTTTTGTTTGTTTTTGTATTTTCTAACCAAAAAAAGCACCTTGTTACATCAAAGCTCCTATGACCTGATGTCACCCGCCCAGACAATTTTCCTCTTTCAATGTTAAAAACTCCCTCTTCACGCACATGCTTGTGTCCCAACTTCTAAATGAAGCAAAAGTTCCCAATATCATCATTGTCGCATTGACAATCTAATTATAGATGCGCAAGCATTTCAAGAGTAAATTAAATAATGCAGTTGAACCTTGGAATTACTTGATTGAACTAGAAGTTCTCGCCTCTGTGGCTCCTGAAACAAATACGGGTTTAATGCAGTTTACTTTCATTCTAAAAACTATTTCCACCTCTTTTTATATAGTCAATGTTTTTAAGGCACTTTTTGCACAGATTGGAAAAACACAAAAACTTTGTGATTGTGAATGACTTCCCCTTTTCAGGATATCTCCTCATATTGGCAAACATTTCTAGAATTCTGTGTTGTGATTTATATTGTGTTTATGGCTTACCCACAGTTTCACGGCACAGCACTGGTCAGCTTTCATTGAGATGTAGTAGTTCAATCCGTTGTTTACAAAGACACTTGGGAAAGTCGATTTCCCTTTTCGTTGTTTGATTGTTTGCATACACATCAATGGACGATTGTCACCTCTCCCAAAAAAAATTGGTTTGTTTTTGTATTTTCTAACCAAAAAAAAGCACCTTGTTACATCACGGCTCCTATGACCTGATGTCACCCACCCAGACAATTTTCCTCTTTCAATGTTAAAAACTCCCTCTTCACGCACATGCTTGTGTCCCAAAATACAGTTCAAAATATCATTTTTGAGCCTAACTTACCCTAGTCAGAGTTGAGCCTCTATTCAAAGTGTAGACCAGGGGTCACCAACCTTTTTGAGAGTGAGAGCTACTTCATGTGTCCTGATGGTGTGAAGGGCTACCAAATTGATACACGTCTGAAATAATATTTATACAAATTACATTTAATAATATTAGAATGTGTTATTTTTCATACTTAATGATTTTAATTTTCAGGCTCTGATCATCTTAAAGATGTCTCGCAATACTGCCAGTGTTTGCATTTTTAAATCGTAATTTCTACGAGCAAATCACAATCCTAGCACTGGCGGGCGATTGGTGTGGTTCTCACCGGCATAGCCTGAGGGCACCACGTTGGTGACCCGTGGTGTAGACTGTGTTGTCATCATCGAGGAGGACTCCTAAAATCATTGAGAGATCATGTGCCTTCAGTGGGGGGTTTTTTGACACACATTTTTTTTGCCTTTTCCTCCTTCATTTGATAGATGTTTGTGTTTACGTTAATAAAGACATTTCAGTACGGATGTGGTCGTTGAATGTATTATATTAACTCAAGACAGAGATGGCGTGTGTCAACCTTTAGAAGGAAATTGCGAGCTTTATAAGGTAAGCCAGAGCTATATACTATATAAAGGTGACATTTAATGGGATACACGAGATTAAAAGCCAACTGAATTGCCTTTTTCAAAGATAGTAATGCCAGTTTTAATGACAAGTGCAGTTGTATTTTGCAATGTATTTTACACCTGACAAGACAGACCTAAACAGTGGATCCAAAAATATTTGGACGGTGACAACACTTATCATTTTGTCTTGATACACGAATATGGATTTGAAAGGGTCAACAACTTTGAAGTGTAGATTTTCAAATTAAAAGGGCGTATACTGTATTTGTGCATTTTTATCTACAATTTGAAACTGAACTGTGACATGCTTTCATTAAAAAGGGGTTGTCGGTCTTGTATGAAAACAAGCCACTGCTCCCCCTGACTGCTGTGGGACCGACGACCAAACGCCAAGTGCAGTACAGAAAAAGTTCACATGACCACGAGGGGCGGAGCTTTGCTGAACACAGTATCTTAAGAAAATAAAAATAAAAAAGCAAGCGCGAAGTCCACACAAGCCTGCATAAAACTGTTGCGCCGAAAAATCCTGTTAACTAACGTTAAACTAATTTCAAAATAGTAGATTTTTAGAGTTAGATTTTTTTCCTTTGACGTAGCAGTGTTTCCGGGTAGTCCGTCTGTCGTTTAAAAATGGCAGATCTTCGGGCAGCGAAGCTGCCATGACACAGGTGTGGAAACTTGGATGCGGC